AATTTTAAATTTAACAGTTTTTACATTATACGATTTTTTGCTTATCTTGAAAAATTGTGATTATGAGAGTTACGTCCTTGGTTATTTTAGGTGGTGATATATCTTCGCAATGCTATTTCTATAAGTTTTCTCACCAGTAAGGAAAGTTCAAAAGTCGGACATGACCGACTATATGATACCCTTCACCACTTTGGATACATACAAGAGATGCTAATATATGCAATATCCTGTATATAGAACAGACATATAATTTTTAGAGGACCATTGAAATGGAATGGGGCGAAACTAAATGTGTGATCTACATAGATATTTGAACCAAGTAAAAAACTCAATGCATTGTATGTCAATCGGATTCTTTTGTGTACCATTTGTATGAAATCGAGCAAAATAATGTATGTGGAGCTATATGTAAATGTTTGATATGCTGCACCACAGAGCGCTGTTCACAATTTTATCTCGTGTATATGGAACAGGCGTAGGATCCTCGGTGCACCATTTACCAAAAACCGGAAGAAACTATTTATGTAATTTCAAACTCTAGTATTTAAAAAAATGTCTCTTTCAAATCACTGTTTCTAATTATGATCAAAAAAATTTAATGTTGTTAAGGGGCATTAAGCGACACAAAAACAACAACGAAGCATTAAAAAAACAAATGGGCATTTAGGAGATGAAAAAAAAAAACATAAATTAACACAACAACAAAAAATAAATGATTCATGCATTCAGATGGAACATTAAATAAATCAGCAATAACAACCAAAAATAAAAATTATTTACAAAATCAAATAAAATAATCCTTAAAAATTAAAAAAAAAAAGTTATTATATTAATTTTTATTAGTATCACAAAACGACTACTTACCTGTATTTGTTGTTCCAACTCATGTACAATATCCTCGCGAGCCAATGTCACCTGTTCCTGTAAACGACGCTCGTATTCATCGATTATTTTTTGTATGATTTGGGTTTCATTATTTGCAGCGGTCATCAGTTCATCCGTGTCGATAATGATTAATGAGGTGTTGTTATTATTGTTATTTTGTGCACTTGGCGATGATGAACTATTTACATCACTGACATTGGCCTCTTTAATGGTGGCGTTTTTCTCCACATCCTCAGGACTCACATCTTGATCCCGAGAATCATTAACATGACGTACCGTCATTAGAGTCATATCTTCAGTATTGACAGAACTTTCTTGTGTCGAATTGAGTGTGGAATTTTTATTTGTAGCCTATTTTCAGGATGTTGCATTTATACGTTTTGGTTTTCGAGGATATATTTTTTTCGAGTTTTTGTTGGTTTTTGGTTAAATACAATTTGAGGGTTAGCACAATAACATCCATATATAATGTGTTTTTGTTGGTTGTATGCATTTGTGTGTTTGTTTTGTTTTAGCCATAAAATAAAGAGAAGAGAATTCAAATGCAAATACATGCTTGTTAATAACACAACAGCAAAAAATAGAGATTTTTGTTCTGGGTAAACTTTTTTCAACAAACAAATCATAGCTTCTTTGAGGGGAAGGAGGGGAAGTCGAAAACTCACAAAATCGGGATAACCAAAAGATAGATTTTTTATTTATCTATATATTATGAAATTACAGTACAGGTCCTCATATGCCTTTGATAAATTTACTTTATTGTAACCCTTATTCAATTTATTATTGCATTTAAGGTAAACTGGACCCTCAGGGTCCATCAGACATTTGCAAGGACACATTAGACAGTGTTCTATATATAAAAAAGTTTGCCAAGAAGGACTTTATCTAGAAAGACAAATTACATACCTTTCGGTGGAAAAATCTGTATAGAACCATCAAAATACCTAAAGTTGATCGGAACCTTTACACTGAGACTAACTGTGGAAAACGTCTATTTTAGATCGAAAGGCATTCCAGTCTACATCTTCGATGATTATTTCCTGCAGAAAGTTGGTGAAAATACTGAACTAACGCGTCCTGAGAATATCAACAGGATGTCTGCATCCCCATGAGGGAATAAAATCATGGACACAAGACAGACAGTGGGAAGCCCAGTAGATATATTGGGTAAATAAGCAGTCGCGGACAGTCAGAGGGTCTAAGGGGAGAATCTCGGAGGAAATGGCCGAGTGCCAATGATCCTTGGATTGACGAGTCGACTATTGGCGCCCATAAAAAGACCATAAAATGGGTATCTTATTTCCTCTCAGTCAGGGTACCGACTGTATTTGAATGGAGCCTGGTTAATACATGTGCGGCCAACTAGTATTAGGTTTAGTTACCAAGTCCTTACAATCGTAAGGAGGCTATGCCATTGTCGACATATCGTCCTCCACAAAATAATGACGTATAGAACCAGTGATTATAAATAAAATTCTCCGACGGAAATGAGTACAGTTGCCCTGGCACCCTCAGATTCAAATTTTAGAAGAGCAAATCTCCAATTTAAAAATCTGGACTCAGACTAAGACTCTTTATCCAGTGTACAAAGCATATTCTCACGCTCAACCGCGGGAGTGAACGTATGCCGAAATTTCCGCCTGAGTCAGGAAAGCATTTCGGAAGATAGGGTACGACATTTCCATGTCGGAGGAGGAAGACGATGCTGACAAAACAGTCTCACCTCCAAGTCAGAAGAAGTTTTCAGATATGAAACGGAAAAAAAGAGGACCCTTTGAGCGCGCATGCTCCCGTCTCTGCACCGAAAATGATCGATGAGACAGGACCTCCAAGGCAATTAACCGCCGAAAACAAAGCAGTCAATAGGGGAAATTCCATAGGAAGTTTGGTAACCCCCTGACAACTAAAAGTGGAAAATCCAAAGAGGCCCTTGCCTTCCAGGGCCTCTTTGGATTTTCCACTTTTAATTAGGAGCCTGGTTAATACTGTGGCTTTTGCCAACATTACGTCTACCAATACCAAGTAAGGTCAGTGATATGGAATTCCGTTTAATCAGGAAACACCTAAGAGCCGTAAGGAAGTACATAGGGAATTATCCTCAGAAGACAACTAGGGAACTGCAGATCGACAGGAATCCTACATCATGTACTGTGGCTACTCACGTCAAGCCCCCAAAAAAGACTGCGACTACGGATTCCTACGGAACAGGATCACAAAAACCCTCGGACATTTCAGCGGAACCTGTTCCGATTGAAGTCAAAACCTCCTCAATGCCCTCCTCAACTAGCTGCAGACATTCCAATCAACAGCCACTATGAGGGATAGTGAGAAGACTACCACCGGAAAGACCAAAGGTCAGGTGGCAAGACTTCGCAGGAACCTTTGAAGCGAACAAAACGTAAGGAAACGACAAATGGTCCCAGATAGCCAAAGAGTAGCTATCATTGACAAGGTTGACCCCGATGGACGGATCAGTGCGAATCATTTGGTTGCAATAGGGTCCCTTAAAGTATATTGGATCGCACAGAAGTAATCTTTACATGGAATGGAATTCCAAAAATTGATAGGTCTTCACCTTCAGTAGAAACCATAGATAGAAGAGAATTTTTGGGTTTTACAATAATTCTTCAGAAGGTATTTTATATAATCAACTATATTCAACCAATTTTTCGATTTGTAACCTTTTGTGTACAGATGTCACACAAAACTCTCAAACACCCTATAGAAGACCCTCAGAAATACTACTTTTTACGAACGATTATACGAAATTCGTCTCTTTTTCGACCTTCAGAATGTATTATCTTAGAACGAATTCCACTTATTGAAGGCACTTGAAAGAACTCCATTAAAATACATTTTATGGGCCTTCTATTAATATATGGACCTTCAGAAAGTTTCTAATAATGCAATCAACAGGTCTTCAGCAACCTTATAGATTTTATTTTTTAACAAGGGGAACTGAATCTAAAGATAAACCTATTAACGATCTTCTATGCAACTTATATGGGATCCATATCAATATAATAATTCTGTAGGTCTTTCGTAAATATGATATTCATAAAACCACTTATTGTTCTTAAATAAAAATTTAAGGACCTTTTTTTTCTACAAGCACTTTTGTCTATAGAATACCCTCAAGAAGATTTCTTTTTGTATGCGGTTTAAAAAAAACCGTCTATCTATAGCCTTATATAGTTAATTCTGTTTATGAAATATCCTATCCAAAAGTGATTATTACACCCAACAAAACGTTCCTCTGTTAAATACCCCCATAAAGACCTGCCGATTAAATATGAAAATAGAATATCTTTCATACGCCTTTCACAGATATAACACCTTCTAGAGAACATTATACATTTTTCTGTCAATAAAATATATTCCGAAGGGTTCAGGTTGTCATCTATAGAAAGAATATCTTTCATGGGCCTTCCACAAATAGACAAAAATTCTACAGTTCTTATACAGCTAGAAAACCTTCTATAGTTTTTACAAATTTAATATCTTCTTCCTCTTTTTATAAAAGAATCTTATAAAGTCTTCTGTCAATAAAAGTAATGTAGAAGGCGTTATATATCTTCTACAGTTCTTGTATAGATTGTCTACACATGGAATACCTTCCATAGTTGTTTTACACATTGAAGGTCCCTGCGATACAGAAATCGTTCTATAATTCTCTTTTTCGACAACAAACCAATGATATATAATTTAATTAATATATTTTTTCAAGAAAATATATCAGCTTCGCTAAATATTTAAAATCGACAGCACTTTTCAATGCATATTTTGCGGCGCAACATAATTGACGAGGCACTGAAGAAATGTACGACAAAAACGAAGCATATTTTCAGGCGCGTATGGAAATGTAAAATAAATGATTCTCATAAACTTGTAATGTTAACTTAATGGAAACTCTCCCAATCCTTCACCCAAAAAAAGCATGATTATGTTTGTCTTTTGATTCTGATTATAATACGAAATTAGTGAGTGTGAATTGTTTTGTTAAAGTCGAATGCAATAAAAAATCTTTAAGCAAAACAACATGCCATTTTTTTGTAATGAAATTAATAAATGGATGACAAAATATACATTATAAATAATCTCCTTTCCAAACTTACCACAAATTCATCTTCTGGATAACGTGATTCATAATATTTCAAACGATCACTTAATTTCTTGATGTTCTCTTCCTGGGAACGTTGAATTTCATGGATTTTATTTTGATAAAATGTTTTCAATTCGGTTATTTCCAAGGCCAACTAAAGAAGAAAACCAACCAATTTTAATATCATTAAAAAAATAAAAATTGAAATCTGAACCCACCTGTGATCCTTCATTTGCTGTTACCTCCTCGGCGACACCATCATTACCGGGTGTCATTTGTCGATGTGAGGGACTTAATAGTAGTTCAGCCCTATAACGTTTACGTGGTGAGGTTTCTTTGGACCTTGGCAGTGATGGAGATTTATAATCGAGTGACAATTGCTCCTGGTCTGATGATTCAGGCGAGGACAAACCTTGCCGCTGGGATTTTTGTGAAAAGACATCATCGGAGAATCTATAAAAAAGGGATTAATTTTTTAGCATTTTTGTGATTTTGTGGTTATGGGTTTGGGGTTAATACTTAGGCGTTCCGTGGGATTTATTGGTTGGCATGCTTGGTTAGAAAAAAGTAAGGGAATTAGTATTATTAATTTTTGTTTCAGTGGGATAAGGGTTAATTAATTAGCATAAATTTGGAAATAAATAATTTAGCAGGGATATTGGGAGGGGGTTTGGGCAGAATGGTAAGAATAAACGAGAAAGGAATAAGGAAATATATGAATATAATATATAAGCAATCTATAGAAAATCTGTCCAACTTAAGCCGGACTTATGTCCAAAATTTTTTCTAAGGACATTTTCTACCTACACATACAGTAAAAACTCGCTAATCCGGATAATTGATTGCAGCCCCCAATCCGGATTACCGAGATTTCCGGATTATCGAGTTTTATTAATTGGTTTAAATTTATATTAATTTGGTGATAATTTAAGTATTTTTATGTTTTTATTAAAAATGAAAATTATTCATTTCAAAAATATGAACTTTGTATATAATAGGTACCATTTTCAATTAAATTTGCAACGATTTTTTTATTAAAATAAAAAGTAACGTATCTTTACAATCCGGATTTTTGAGTCAAATAGGTCAATCAATCCGGATTATAGGATACGCAATGGGTTCTGAAATGCAGTCCGGATTACCGAATAATCCGGATTGTCGAGGTCCGGATTATGAAGTTTATACTGTAACTGCAAAAACTAAACTACATCCAATTTGGTTTAAAAAAAGGTGCACAATTCTCAAGATACTGAAAATTGAGAAGGTACCGGTATTGAAAAACGGAAGGTATATGGACACTTTATCTAAACTTAGACCCATAACGTCAATTGCATTCAAGGAGTTTTCACTCTACTGGGAAATATAGAATTACATACAAATACACCCGTATATTGGGAGTTATGTTTATATGTGGATCGACCATGACCTGCCTGTAGTAACAAAAAAAAAAAAACAATATTTTTCTGATCTGCAGGTCTATTACGTTCACTAATGACCCCAATATTCTAGGGGTCACATCTTTTAGTTTATAAATGTCATCAGCCATTGCCACTGCTATTTCGGATCTGATAAAGAAACCTTGTTGACATCCTGTACATCGATAGGCCGGTCTGTGTTAAAATGTGCTGCTCCTTTGCTCCAGTGTGGTCCCCTAATATAAGGGATATAAAAAGGAGAAATTTCTAATCCAGCCTGAATGTCACACTGAGAACTGCAAATCACCTCCTTTTATAGATCGTTTTTGCGACTGGGGGTTCTACGATCCGAAACGACCCGAATCTTACTCGGACAACGTCTGTCACTTCAGACAATTTTGTAACAGCAATAGGGCTGCTACAACAACAGCCATCCTATAGATAGGTGTGTCAGGATTTATCTTCATGGCCTGAATTGAGAAGTCCGGACGTATAAAGGAAAATCTCTAGATCAATAACCCTGTCAATCAGGATTGAAAGGATGAATATAATCCTCAGGGAACACCCGCCACAGAAAGCAGCAGCTACCAAGACAAATCAGAGTGATTTTTAGATCTCGGTGGATAAGCCGCCTCAATTCGTGTTGGAGTTGAAGGCTCTGAGGTGCTAGCCAGACTTCGCACGTGATATAGGAATTCTATCAATTAAGAAGTCTTTCGCAAAATCATTCGGATAGTTCCTCTTAATTAGAATAAACTCCTTGACCGTAATCGAGTCTCTGTCCGGCCAGATAAACCGGTTGCACTAATTAACCGCTCTCTGGTAATTCTTCTTTTTAGGGATCTCTTTGGCGTTGACTCGTTTGCTGTTTCCCGTTTCCGATGACTCATACATCTTTAGGATTCGGCTTTATAGAATAAGGATTCAGTGAGGATTTGAAGTCGGCCATGGCATAGCCTTGTACCATGGTAAGGACTTGGCGATTAAGCCTGAACAAAACTTCTTTAGTTTGGAAATCCTCTTTATAGAGGATTTCCAGAAAGTATAACCGCTTTAGGATCTCTATAGAGGGCCCTCAGAAGAGGAGATCCTCTGCCTTTTTTCTGTTTAGAGAGAGTACTTAAAATATCATCTCTCTAAGGAGACATACAGGAGGTATTTTCTTTATAAAAGTCTCTGAAAGGGCGTTTTGTCAACGAATGATCCTCAAATGGCCTTCTGTTGTATGAAGACATTCTATCTGTAGTAGAACTTCCAGAAGACCAAAAGAAATTCTCATTTTAAAGGAGACCCTCAGAGTGTCTTCCGTTGTTAGTGACACCTCTCTGTGTAGAAAATTTTCAGCTGATTTTTTGTTCAAAGAGAGTATTTAAAAGATTGAATAGGAAGGCGTATCGGTGGGAAATTTGCTATTACCAACGGTATATTGATAAGGAGCTGAACTTGATCAGCGACATCAAATTCCTTTGGTTCAAGAAGCACTCTCTAAAGAGTAGACTTCAGATTTATAAGAGAAGCTCTATAAAAAATCAGAAGTATGACCGCCGTATAGACTTCAGTATAGTCTTTAGAAGGTCATACATGTTTTAGAGGCACATTGTCCTTTTCAGATTTCTAGAATACAGATTTGCCACTTAACTCTCCCGAATTAATTTAGGAAATTGTTTCTCTTTCCTGCGACATTAGAATTATCATTCTCAATGATCCAACTTACTGTTTCTCCAATTCCGCACATTTGGCTTCAAAATATTTCCTCAAATCTTCCATTTCTTGATTATGTTTGAGTTCACGTTCCTGCCGCTGCAACAAAAGACGTTGTATCTCTTCGTCTTTTTCACGCTTTTCCGTCTCCCATTGATCCATAACAATTTTTAGCTCCTGTTCACTTTTCATTCGCAGCTTTTCTAATTCTTGACATAGATAATCATCGAATTTCTTTTGAACCATAAAAAAGAGACGCACTTCACTGGGTGTTAAATATTTTTGAAATTGTTCAATTTGTTTGTTGAAGGGAGTGGAAATGATTTCCGGTTCATTTGGCATATAATCAAATTGTCGTGGCATTGAGAGTTGACGTTCTCGGGAATTGCGTGAGAATTTCTCTTCGTTGTCGGTAAAATAATGCCGCTCGAAATCATCATCACTTTCACTAACAAGATCCATAGAAATTTCCGAGATACGTTGTCCGAAATTGCTTTCCTGATCGGCTCGGGGCCAGGAGGGGCGTTTCAGCGTGTCCATGGCATCGGTTAGTTGTTTGCGAAGTAGTTGAACTTCGGTGGCTAGTTTTTCACTTTCAGTTTGCAGATTCTCCCGTATGGTCAAGGATTGCTGAAGGGATTCCGTTAGTTTGGCAATTAATTCATCACGTTTGGTTAGCTCCACATAGATATCCATGGTCTGGAAGAGGAAAAAGATGCATTAATTTCCTAGAAATATAGTTCTTCCAAAAAAGCTTACCTGTTGCCCAAAATCTTCCTGAAGGGTCCTATATTCCGTTGAGTTAGTGGCCAATGAACTGGTTTCCCTACCCGACACCGAACCCAATTGTTCGCTTGATTCTCTGCGGGACATATTTTCCAGTTGCATATTTAGTGAAGCCAAACAGGCATCTTTGGTGGCCAACATTTGTTGCAGTTCTCCCACCTTCTGTTCCAACATTTGTATCATATTTAAGCTAACTGCCGAATTACTAGTCGAAGTGGCCTCATTCGAATTACATTCCATTTCATTTTGTTTGGCTTGAGCCTCCAATTTGCTGGCCAAAGCTGCCAGGGATTGTTGTTCATCCTGGGTGGACAAGGAGTTACGTTCACTCTCCTCCGTTATATCCTCGAGGACATCTTTGGCAAATTCCACCAAGGAAACCCTTTCCATGGCTTTGGGTTGTTGAGAGTTAACATCTCCGCTCACGGTTGCAGGTGATGTGGACAACTCTGCCGATGATAGAATGTTTTCCCGCATAGCCATTATTCGACATTTCATTAATTTCAAGTCGGTCTCCTCCTCATCATCTTCCTCCTCCGTAGAATCCATCATGGTATTGCCTCCTTTGGCTACACCAATTTCAGTTTTCAGTGTCTGATCCAAATCATCATCAATTTTTGTGGAGGTTAATGGCTTCTCAGGATTATCGGGCAGACTTTCATCCAAATCCGTTACAATTTCTATGGGTGGTGAGGGTTCCACGACTAGGACCCCACAACTTTCAACTTGTTGAAAATCTGCAGGTTTAACAAAATCTTCGGTGGCATAATTTAGACTTGTTTCCTTGGATTCTGCCTTTTCCAAAGTCTTTCGAGAACTTACTTCCAATGATCCGGATTTATCCTCTTTCGGATCTTGATTTTCTTTATCCGCACTTTGTTCCAACAACAAATCATCAATCAATGTTTTGTTGTTGTCAATATAACTGGGATTCAGGGAGCTGATTTCATGATCATCCAGGGTTATTTCCAATGAAGGATTTGAGGCCATCATCTCTTCCATTGATTGATCCTTTTCGCTGTAATTCGATGATGAACCGGACAGGGGTTTTATATCGGGATTTTCAAATAATTCGGGTAAAGATGCTTTTTTGGTTGCCGTTACCCTAGCCAAGGGTTTGAGTAGAATTTTTTGTGACGATGATTCCGAGGCAGCGGGACTCACAATGTTTGTCAAGGGTTCTAAGATTTTTACGGGATTCGGTTTCACATTTTCTGCTGGCATTTTGGGATCAAGTTCGGCTTTGAGTTGTTGTTTTTCTTTTTCAAGGCTCTCCAATTTTTCCTGGTCACTTTGGAGACTTTGTAGGGCGTCCGACTTTGGAACGCTTTTGGATATATCTGCAATAAAAGGTAGGCAATTAGATAGGAGAAAAAGGGTGGATTAGGACTTCAAGAAAAAAAACGGGACCATCGAATATTTTTTGATCAAAAATGAGACATTACAAAGGAAGGGGTTTTTCTTAAAAGTCTGGGATATACGGATGCCTCCAGAGATTTTATAAAATGTGTACTGACTAGGCCTCCGCAGCCTTTGACAATTTTGTTCCTATTGAATAATTAGGCTAAGCGTACCGAGGCCTTAAAATAAATTTTTTATATAGGAAGAATCGAAACCCCCGTGTACTGAGGCCTCCCGAGAATAGTAAAAGTTAGACCTCAGGTGTACAGAGGCCTCCAAACATTTCATTTTATAGGAATAAATGAGTCCACAGGTGTTCTGAGGCCTCCAGAGGTTTTTTCTTGTAGGAAAAAAGGGGCCCTCAGGTGTATTGAGGCCTTCAATGGTTTTATTTTATAGAAAAAAATGAGTCCTCATGTGTTCTGAGGTCTCCAGAGTTGTTTTTATATAGAAAAAAACTTAGACTTCCGGTACAGAGATCCCTATAGAAAAGAAAAATCCGGTGTATCGAGGCCTCCAGTGATTTTGTTGTATAGAAAAATGGATACCTGAGGGATCCTGTGGCCTCCAGAGATTTTTTCTATAGAAAAAATGAGCCGTTAGGTAAATTCCAGAGATATTTTTCTATACAGACCTCCAGAGTAAATGAGCCCTCAGGTGTTCTGAGGCCTCCAGAGATTTTTTCTATTGAAAAAAATTTGAACTTAGGTTTACCAAGGCATCCACCGAGGCAAAGAAAATGAGACCTCCATAGATTTGTTTCTATAGGAAAAAACGAGACCTCAGGTTTACCGAGGCCTCGGCAGGTCGACAGAGGTCTACACCGAGGCAAAAATTGAGACTTCAGGTGGACTGAGGCCTCCAGAGATTTTTTCTATAGGAAAAATGAGACGTCAGGTGGACTGAAGCCTCCAGAGGCTCTTTCAACAGGTTTACCGAAGTCTCCACAGTTCAAAAGAGACCACCACAGAAGCAAAAAGATAGACCTCAGGTTTTCCGAGGCCTATGCAGGTCTCCACTGAAAAAATGAGACCTGTTCTCCAGAATAGTTTCTATAGATACAAATTAGACTTCAGGTGTACTGTGCTATCCTGAGACCTCCAAGATGTCTTTTTTATAATAAAAATAAAACCTTAAGTGTCCCGAAGTTTACTCATCATTTTTTTTTTTTTTTTTTTTTTTTGCAACTTACCCTTATTACTTTCCCCTCCAGCACCCTCTGGCAACGACAAGGGATAATCTCCATCCGACACTAACGATTCAGGATCTTCCACAGGTTCTTCTTGCAATTCGGAAACATCATGTGAGGTACTTTGATTACTTAAACTCTGTTCCGCTGGGTTATTCTCCTCCTCCTCCTCCAGTCCCAGACTGGCACTCCGTTCCTCCGATTGTAGTACTGAACGAATTTCATGTTTATCTTGTTGTAGACCCAACGATACTTCATCACTGTCCTCCAAAACAAAATGTTGGGCTAATTTACCGCCCGATAACTGATCGTCGTCGATTTTAAATTGACCCTCATCACTTGGTGAACTTTTTTTACTCTTTCCCGATGATAGTTTTTCCGAATTTCCAATACTTGATAAATCGGAGAGATCAATGCCAAACATTTGTTCCGATTTTGGGGTAAGGTGTGGTGGTTGTGGTTTTTTACTTGGTCCCGGTAGAGAATCTAAGGAATCCACCTGTTCATCACTAATCTCTTCTAGAGCCTCCTCGATTTCTTCTTCAATTTCATCGCTGGGTTCATCACTTAGACTAGAAAGAAGATTTGTGGAACTTCGTTGTGGCACATTACTCTGGCTGGTGGTATTGTTAGATCGGCTAATGGCAGCCGATTGTGCTGAAGATGTTGTTGTTGCTGGTGTGGTGGTGGCCGCAGTCGTTGTTGTGGTTTTTTGAGAGCCCTCCATTATATCAATTGTAATGGAGCTGGTTGGCTCATCGAAATATGTCGATAATGAAGCTGTGTCGCTTAGACTTACTGTTGGCACGACCTCCTGCTGTAAAAGTTCAATGGTATCCAGGGAGCAGGGGGAATCGTTGGCTACTTGTTGTTGTTGTTTCTGTTCTTCACTTTCACTCTCTGCTGACTTTTCAATGGTAAATGTTAGGCGTGATTCTGCTGCCGTTTCGTTGTGTTGCTGCAACAATTGTTCCGCTGGTGGTGATTGTTCATGATGGGCGACACAGCAACCCGGCAGACATTGTTGCAAATGTTCACACGAGAGGGTTTTCGATGATGATGATGCTGCTGGTGTATGACTTATAAATTCTAATGTTGGTATTAATTCAATATTATTTATTGTTGTTGGTGTTGTTGTTGCCGTGGCAGCTTCTGTAAATACCAAATGTGAGGAGTCGGGTTCCTTGTTGGGTATTTCACTGTCGTTTGCGTTGCAAGGTTTAGCTGCATACACCACAATATCTGAAGTGATATCTTGACTGTTGGTTACATTCAAATATGGATGGATTGTTGCTGTTGCCGCTGTCGGTATCGGTGTTGAGGTCTTGTATGTTGCTCGGGGGCGCAACAATGTTGTGATCTGTAAATATGGAGGGGAAATAAAGGAATTATTAAATGTAAAGAAGGTGAAAATTGCTTATGAGCTGTTTTTCAATAAAAAATGAGACGTCAGGTGTACTGAGGCCTCCAGAGTATTGAGGACCTCCAAAGATTTGTTTCTATAGAATAGGAAATGCCTTAGGTGTACTGAGGTCTCAAGAGATTTTTAAATAAAATGACAAAGGCCTCCGGAGATCTTTTGTACAGAAAATAATTTCTACTATTGAAAAAATGGCCTCAGGTGTGCCTGTAGAAATGTTCTACTATAAAAAAAATTGACCTCATGTGTACTGAGAACTCAAGGGATTTTTAAATTAAACAAAATGATATCAGGTTTACTAAGGCTAGATTTTTTATACAGAAAATAATTGCATGCGGTGCACTGAGGTCTCCAAAGAATTTCTTCTATGGAGAAAAAAAAGCCTTTGGTGCACTTCACCTTCAAATATTTTCTACTATAGAAAAAATTAACCTCATGTGCACTGGGACCTCCAAGTATACTGAGGTCTCAAGAGATTTTTAAATAAAACAAAATGACTTCATGTTTACCAAGGCCTCCAGAGATCTTGTGTACATAAAATAATTGCCTACGGTGCTTTGAGGTCTTCAAAGAGTTTCTTCTATTGAAAAAATTACCTCATGTGTACTGAAGCCTCCAGAGATTTTCTACTGTAGAAAAAAGTTGGCCTCATGTGTACTGAGACCTCCAGGTGCACTGAGGCCTCAAGTAATTTTTAAATAAAACAAAATGACTAAGGCCTCCAGGATCATTTGGACTGAAAATAATAGCCTACGATGTCTTGAGGTCTCAAAAGATTTTTTTTCTATTTAAAAAATGAATTGTTCATGTGTACTGAAGCATCATATGTACTGAGACCACCAGAGATACTTTCCTATTGCAAAAGTTGGCCTCAAGTGTACTGAACTTTTTTATAAAAAAAAACTGAGGAGCCTCAATTCGATATGAGGCAATTTTTCTATAGAAAAAATCGCTGGAGCCTTCAATACATCTGAATTCATTATTTTCTTTTAAGTTCTATTTTGAGGCAATTTTGTCATAGAAAAATAATGTCTGGGGTCTCAGCTCACCTGAGGTCATTTTTAATAGAAAAAAATCAGTGGAGTTTTCAGTTGGATCGGTGGCCTTTTTTCTTTAGAAAAAATTAATGGAGAACTTAGTACAATTGAAAAAAATTGCCTCTGAGATTTGTTCCTACAGAAAAAAAACTGAGACCTAAGGTTTACTGAGGTCTCCAGAGATTTTTTTTAATAGAAAAAATTAAACAAGTAAAAAAGTCCTTTAGTCCGTCATGCCGAACTATTTACACCCTCCACCATGAGCTAAGGAGTTTAAACGTTCACTCAAAATAACAAAAATCTATCGGAACTTTTATCTGGGGGTTTCAGTTCAATTGAGGACATTTTTTCCTACAGAAAAAAATCATCATAGACCTCAGTTGGATCGGTGGTCGTTTTCCTTTTTAAAAAAAATTAATGGAGACCTCAGTACACAAAATTACCTCTGAGACTTGTTCTTACAGAAAAGATGACTCCTCAGATGCATTGAGGCTTCTATAATTGTTTATAGAAAAAACTGAGACTTAAGGAATACTGAGGTCTCCAGAGATTTGTTGTATAGAAAAATATTAAATGTTTAAATTGAACAAGTAAAAATTAATTTAGTTCGTGAGGCCCTATTATTTACCACCATGATCTAAGGGGTTTGAACGTTCACTCAAAATAACAAAAATCTATCGGAACTTTTATATCGTTTCCAGAAGAAAACGAAGTACCAAAGAACAGACACTCAGATTGTGGAAAATTGGTGGCTATATATAAACATGGACTTATATGAAAGTGTTCGATGAAGAAGTTGTATACCGGCGAAGATCCCAGAATCCCGGAATCCGAAAATTCCAACCGTGTTAGAAAGGGTGCATGTCTGGCTCTCGTATGAACTAGGATTATTGACATCGCTCTAAAATTAACAAAATGGAGGACCTTTGAAAAAATATTTTTGGAAAATCGCCGATTTTTGACCAAAAACCATGTTAAAAAATAAGCAAGATCTTCACCGATTGGCTTTATCCTAGTTAATACGATAGCTATACACTCACAGAGAAACGTGTAAAAATTTGGAATCGATTGGGTTATTAGTTTTTAAGTTATCGTGTCCGCCATTCGCAAAAGAGAAAAACGCGTTTAAAGTTTGAGAAGCCCTTTAGCCGTCACTGACACAATAAATAGGCTATATCTTCAAGAGTTCTTCAGATTTTCACTTGAAATTTTGTAGGGACATTCATGAATTAGTGTAGATTCGAATTAAATCAAAAAAATTTTTGACCCCGAGAATGGGGGGGGGGTCCCCTTAATAAATTTTTGTGTAAAGATTTTGTTACAATGATAATCCGAAATATCAAATTACAGCTATTTTTGGTAGCGAAATTTTCGACCAAATGAGAACCCTAAATATCAAATTGGAGCTAATTCGGTATTTGGCTATATGATAGGGTCTCCGATGAATATTTCGAGTTATTCGTATGAGAAGCAAAGGTATAATTTTGAAAATTTTTTGGAAAAAATTACTATATATTTTTAGAGGGCCATCAGATCCGTATTTTTTGCTCCTGTTACTCGTCTTGGGAGCATAGGGCTTACGTAAAGCATTGACATCTTACTCGAGTAGTCCTTGTTTTAATTTCGTTAAACATTATTCTATTATTCGAGCTAAGTAGATGATTGGTCTGCTGTAGACTATCCTAAGTGGTGGGGTTGCCATCTATCGTTGCCTAGAAACAACGACACATATTTTAATTATTATATAGTTCTTGGGATCATTGCTTATTTAGGGTTGCCATTATCCTGAAGGTGGCGCTATCTTCTACCAATTCTACTTTGGTTTCAATGTTGCTTATTAGAATACCGGGTGGATTCGGAGGCATTTCAACTGGCGGATAATGTAGGTTACATTATCCTTATACGAATATATTCGAAAAGCACTTTGAAAGAATGTAGTCCAAAAGATAATATTTGTTGAAAGGTACACCATCAAATAAGACAATTCGGTTAAAAAATATTCAGGTGGAGGGTATAAAAATGGCTGAGATTATCAGCTTTTTCTACACAGACGTCTAGAGTATTTTTCCCATAAAAATTTGCCTCCAGATATATTTTTCTATAGAAAAATATGTTTTATTAAAATTAAATTCGTGCCCTTAAAAACTTAGGACGCCGTTATTTAGGACATTTATGATAATTTCATTGTCATCCATATTTGCTTTGCCAAATACCCCAAAAAATTCCCACATGACCCAAATAAACCACACATAGTCTTTTCATAGTCCTCTGAAAAATATTCCTTAAAAATTCACACTTCTAGGGCTGATACCCCTATCAAACATATTATTTAAAAATCTACGAAGAATCTATGCTTCTTATTGCGATAGTACCTCAAAAATTCATGTTTTAAATTTTCCCCAATTTTTCCCTACCCTCGTAATTATTATTATTGTTTTTAGCTTTTAATTTCTAACAAATCGTTTTTATGCAAATATGAATGCACATCGGCTGTTCTAGTTTTATGACCGACTTACACAAATATTCTTATTCATTTGCTCTCTGTGCTCAAAGGCATCTTCACGTTGCGACCGTGTTTGTTCACTTTGTCACTTCAAAACATTAATAATTTAGGTTGTTGTTAAATTTGAATTTGAGCAAAAATGATCTAGGCTGCGGACTATTGCCCCACAAATAGGAGATAGTTTTTTTATATTTCTTATAAAAAAATGAGCAATACCTATAAACATATTTGATGGGTGTGTTGTGGTTTATTTGGGTCATGTGGGAATGTTTTCGGGTTATTTGGCAAAGAAAAGAATGGGTGATAGTGCAATTGTAGTAAGGGCATCTTTTTCGTTCAGGGCATAATTCTTTTTTTTAAGAAAATATTATCGTGACTCTTTTTATTTGTTTTCTATCTTCAAAAAATTACACCTGAAGCAACTTTTTTCTATAGAAAAAAATCTCTTGAGGACCGACTACATGTGAAGCCATTTTTTTCCTATAGAAAACATGTCTGGGGTTCAGAAAAATTTACGCCCCATATAAGGAGACATTTTTTCTCCTAATTTCAAAATTTATTAGAAATTTAATTTAATTACCACAACAACTTCCCCAATAAATTTCCTTTCATGGATGAACGGCAATATTTGTCGGATTTTATGATAATAATAGAAATTGTTCGAAAGGGAGACGACATCTATACCAAATCAATGATCCCTATAAAATTTCCATGTAACTTCGTGGCTATTTATATTTACAGTCAATATTTTTATTTTTAATTTTTATTTCCTGTGATTCTCCTTCACCTTCTACTCACTCACACCCACAATCTTCTATAGCCAACATGCCGGTCTTTTCATCACTTGGCTACAAAGAAAAAGGAAACCTAAGAATCACAGCCATAAATCACTCAACTCGAGCAATTTTTGGAGTGGCTGAGGTTTTCATTGGTCCATGGAAATATTAACAAAATTTTATGGACAAATATTTAGAAATCCCGTGAAATAAAACTTCGGAAAATAGCAGCTTTAAAGTGGAAATTTGTGTACGAAAGTGTCACATAACATGAAGTGTTTTTTTGGAGTGGGGGAGGTATTTTTTTCAGAGGAAATCTTAATATTGTTTCTGGTGCAAGCATCAAATAATCGATTCGGGATTTCTTTCTGCAGGAAAAGACTGTATAAAGTTGCTGAGGTTTATTAAAAAATATAATTTTGATCGAAAATATAGAAGTCTTTAGACCTGAAGTAGGTATTCATTAAATTGTTTGCGGATTTTTTTCTACCTCTCAATGTCATTTCTAGTGTTGGATTCATTAAAAAATTTTTCTCATCAAAAAAATACCCATCCTCAGACCTGCAGTACCCTTTCATTCATTAATATTTTTTAATGCGGATTTATTTTCTATCATCCTCTTAA